TATATATATATATATAATAGGTAAATTTAAATCCGATTATAAACAACTGATTTTTCACACTTTTGTAAATGCGTGGAACAACGACATTTCTCGATGCATTTTAATATATAACAAAGATCAATATTATAGCACGCATCTCAAGCAGTTAACAAGACGAGAATCGCCTAGTATACAGTGAAAGAAACTTTTAATAATCAAACTATGATACAATAGATGTAAACTATATACCGTATTGCGGTAATATTCAATTCAAATGATGTATTTAAGTACTATAAATAACCAATTACTATTGAAAATAATGAGAACAGACAACAACAAACAAAAAAAAAAATTAAAAAAAATTAACCAACTATATTATCATCATAGTTCCCTACGCGCTATGACAATCAATATTAAAGGCACTTGTTGTAGAAAGTAAATTTACAAAAATAAATTTTAAATGGAATTTTTATGTGGTGTGTTTTTGGGTATAACTTTACGTAAATCTATATGTACTCAAATAAGCGTTTAAACTAAAATAAGATAAAATTTGTAATGAAGAGAGAATACTTTATTCACTTCTAAGAGAAAAAATTACATAAGATACGGGTTAACAATAATTTAATGAAACACTAAGAGAATGTGATGCTTTCCTGTGGTGCGAACAAGTCGTTAGTTGAGTATTCTCATGAGTATCCCACTTCCTGCATGAAAGAGCCAAACGTCTATTGTTTACTGCTGTCCAATGCTGAGGGCCGCCAACATGTATTGCAGGAATTAATTCGGCTATAATTAACACGGAAACTATATAGACCATAAGCTGAGGTAATGTAAAGTTTGGTATATTGAGTATCACATTAGCAGGCCTATAATAACAAAATATTCCTCGCACAAAATAAGTGTGGTTTTTAATAATTTTCTGAACTAAATTATATGATTAAGTTAATGTTATACTTTAGTACTAGCCTTAATAATGAGACAAACACAAAACCATGGATACAGCAATTATAAGTCTATGATTTGTTTACATGACTTGTGTGCTTACCAGTGACGTAACATTCTAACTTTTTTTAAAGAAAGGAACTTTCACTGACTAATAGCTTAGGCTGAATCATCACACCGGGGTAAATCACCTATTTAATTACGTTTCACAAAATTGTGTATACCCTGGTTATATGAACTTGAAAAGGAATTATTTTGTTTTAAATATAATTTGTTAGTACTACCGGAAGAAATGAACCAATAATCCCGGACGAAACATACGAAAAAAATAATCATTGATAGCCCAACTATTTCCGACCTCCTGTCATAGCATTCTCTAAAATCTAGCGGCCTACCTATTGTTTCCAAGCTACCATAACATTATGAAATTAATATTACAGTTTTCCTGGTTTACAAATCAACTCTTATTTGGAAGTTTGATATTATCTCATACCTATTACTCAACTCACGTGCCCAAACTGGCAGCCACAACGTCATCGGTGTGCGACCCCGGTGAAGCACTTATATCTCACTTCCCTATAAAAACCCGGTCACTTTTGGACTCCCCTTTAGTTGGATATCGTCTACTTTAAAGCGTCTTGGGAGGAAAGAACTCGAGTTAACAATTTGTCTAATCTTGTAGACAGTTTATATAGGCCTACTAGTGTTGTTTCCACTTTCAGTCCAGCTGGCAATTGCTAACATGTTGTTTTTTACAGCACTTCTATCAATAATTCTTCGTCTCGGAGATAGCTCTCCTGTTACAAATCCAAATGCAGCATTGGTGAGTAATAAAATAGTATGTTAGTTTTCCCCCGATTTATCAATTTTGAATATATAGTTTGGTTAATGTACTGTATACCTACAGTATGGATTTAACTTATCAAATGGGATTAATCAAAATGTTAGGCACGATTCGTTTAATTCAATACAAGTAGAGGCCTATTTTAAGACCGAAATGTTTGCATTTATATAATTTTACTTATAAACATTTTAATAAGATGAGTAGTGAGATAGTAGGCCTATACACATGTGTATCAGGCGACAGCTCGTAAAGTACGTTGGGTGTTACAACTTGTTGAAGACATTATTATATCTTTATATGTTCAATGTTTAAATTCTTAAATTGAATTAACAAATATAATAATAACCCACCCTAGAAGTCCATATATAATAATATTAGAGGTTTTATAGTAATATAAAGACTGATTGATATGTGTTTATATTATTATCACTTCATGGTGATGGCGAGGTTATCTAAATATCGAATAGGCCTACATATTTTAAATAATATATTTTAAAAACAGTTTTTAACATGGACTTATATTATTAGATGTAATGAAATTACTAAGACTGTTTCCATACTTATTCATGTCATATCAATAATTAAAACCATTTAAAATAACATTAGGAATTCTACAAAATAATGTATCATCAAATAATCTTAGTCGATCATGGGGCACTTGAAATTGGGGAGGAGAGGTAGTAAGTAGGCCTAGAATATCTTTATAATTTTAGTGTGATATAAACTGTTTTATAGAAGTAAGTGAATCAATAATAAAGCAATGTCAAGTGATGGGCATCAACAGTAACGTTAAAACGCGAAAGAATTTTCAATTTGATTAATTCTGCTAATTTCCTCGTTTTCCGACGAATCAGTGCAATGACGGCATGGCCGTGACTACTGCCTACGCGCAGTATCAAGATTCATTTGTAAATGATTACAGTGACCACGTGCTGATTAAATTAATACTTTACAAATATTTTTTTAAATTAAGAATACGATTTCAATATCTTCACACGGTCACAGGATATCCTAGTGACGTCATTCTTTTTTTTTTTTTTAAAGAATACCCATTGAAGAAGTCTAGACCCCTTATCCATATGCATTATTTCCTGAGTCCTCTACAAGCCTAACCTATCTCGCCAAACATCGCACACGCTTTGAGCATGAGTCTAAAACCATAATTATTACAGCCTAGAGTCGACCGGACGATACATTACTCGCCCCGAATGCATCTCATCAACCGAAAGAGTTGGATATTATTTTTATTAGTGTTTCGTTTGAATGATAATGATGGGAGCCCATATTGAAGCGAAACAGATTTAACTCAATATTATATTTGATTGATAAAAGGCCTAGGCCCACACTCAGAACAAGTGAACTGTTTACATCGAAAAAGTTATTTAACCAGCCCTACTAACAGGGGACAACTTGTCAAGTATGGAGCGAGATATTTCTCAATAAATTAAACGCTAGCGTCTCATGAAACATTAGGTACATACATCATCAATGCAACTATTTCAATATCTAAATAATATGGTATGCCTAGTAGCTAGCTATAGCTAAATTAGATATTAAACATAGGTTAGTAACGGACATGAGTCAGCGGCAATACGCTGTTAAAATAGTGGCTACATATCAGCTCTTAAAACTGATTGTTATGCAGGTATTAATATCGTACTTTTGTATGGGGCATGCGTGGGTCGTCTGAAAGTAGAACGTAGGATGCAGTTCTCAATTTTATACTAAATAAATAAATTGTGTATTGAATATAGCTGTGCGAATTAGAATAACAAAATATTATAGAATTAGTGATAACAAATCTGCCTTTTCAATACTGATTTAGGTTGGCACGCCAATACTCGTAACTTAATTAGCTAGGTCCGGGAGGCCTTTGCCACTGCTGCTCATCCGCGCCGGAGGCACATATTCATTTTTCGATGCCCTGTATAATTCCGCTCTATATACCGGAAGTGATTATATATGAGAATAAATTTGTTCTAATCTAATCATATTTTTTACTTTTAAGTTACATTGTACGAAGTCTCTCAAAGATAGAAGGGTGACAAGACAGGAGAGGATTAAAACATATATAACATAACAGTCATTCAATAGTATAACACATTTTAAAACTTCTCCGAACATTATAACACGATTCAAATGTCTAGTGTCTCTAGGAACCTGGACCATTAGCCCCCAAGAACTCACTGTGACTTTTGCGCTAGGACGAAATAATGTCTTGCCCCATGTCGGAATCTTCACCGACGCCCCTAAATTAAATTCTAGATTCACCACATGTTTACATCATGGCCCATATTTACGTTAACATATTATGCAGCACCCTCACCATGCAGGTGAAATTCTCCAAATGTATTTACCCCCAGGGGTGGCACTCAGCAGGGTCTCCGGGGCATGGCCAACATTTTCTAGTTGCATTAGGTTGAAGCACTTTACTTTACTTACAGGAATACCTGACATCATTCAACTACATGGCACCGTTTGATGCAAAATCGGGCCAACTTCGCTCTCAGGCAGAACTTATAGAGGGACTTAAACGATTCCAACGCTTCGCAAACATCTCAGAAACAGGTACGGACACGCTGCAAAGCAATAATATTTCGGGCATATTATGCCAATGTCTTCTGCGTCTTAGTAATAGTAGCAGCAACAATTATACAGCAGTAGTTGTAGCAGCAGCGGCAGTAGCAGCAGGAGTAGCAGCAACAGTAGTAGCAGTAGAAGTAGCAAGTGCATTAGTATAATTATAAATAATGTTTACTAACGATGATGGTGAACTAACAATGAAGTCATTTATTATTAATGTAAAAACAACCAATTTGTTTCAAACTCAGGTGAATTCGATGAAGATACCATAGAAATAATGAATTTACCGAGATGTGGTAATCCGGATTTTGTTGGAACTGGTCAGGACGCTCGACGCAGGCGATACGCACCGCAGGGAAGTCGATGGCCAAAAAACAGACTTACATACTTCATCGAAAACTTTTCACCTGATCTTAGTCAGACAAATCAGGTCAGAATTATCCAAGCTGCATTTGATGTAAGTATATTATTATGCATAGGCTGTATGGGCCGAGTGGCCGAGAGGTAGGGCAAGGGTCAGTACCAATACCGCAGCCAGGATTTTCAAACAGTGCGGGACATCAGGGTGGACTCATTTTACGCGTAAACTTAAGTAATGTGGACCCATTTTTTTTTTTTAAAGTTGAAACATTTAACGCAACAATCTGGACCCATTTCTTAAAAGTTGACCCATTTTATGCAAAATATGAGAAATCTAGACTCATTTTTTAAAATGTGGACCCAATAGAAAATTTGTGTGGAATGTCCCAAGTGTCCCAAGCTGGCTACGGCGGGCATTGGGCAGCGCTATATACAAATTTACAGCCTTAACATGATAGTCGGCGCTAGTTCGAGACCCTTCACGAACTTTGGTTGGCCGGAAGATTTCTCGGATAAGGTAAGGACTAAATCCGGGGGTCCTATGTACATTAATTATCATTATAATATTTTTTATAACTAATCACACATGTTCAATTTTATATAGATTTGGGCTAGACAAACTTCGTTGACATTCATAAGGCAGAATTCCGCTAGAGGTGCTGATATAATTATCAAGTTTGCTAAAGGTAGCCATGGAGATGGTAATCCCTTCGACGGAGCTGGTGGTACCCTAGCCCATGCCTACTTCCCGCAATTTGGTGGCGATGCTCACTTTGATGATGCCGAACGATTCACTTATAATAGTTACTCAGGTAAGACCAACATGCATTTTTTAAATTTATAAATATGGCAAGCTGTGTTTTTTCCCCATAGATTTTAAAATAAGGAGAGAGACAAGCAATGATTAGATATTCAGCAGTGTTTATTGATGATGAAAATATTATTTCAATTTATCGACAATGGGAGAAATTTTTTGATTGGTTCTTTCACATAATTAAAGAGATCCTAACATGGCTATTAGGACGATGCTAAATTTGTGGCGTTTTTATTCTCATTAAATTTTCTTCATGTAAAAATATAGTAGCGTCTGTAGCTCTTCGAAAATTCTAAGCCGCATGTGTACAATAAATAGCCTATACAATACAAAAATGTTTTATTTATCAAATTAAAATGGCAGAAGAAATTACAGCAAATGAAATAGAAAAAAAAGACGAAAAAATTAAACCTTAAGAAACTCACTTGGGTTTCTAAGAAAAGTATACAGAAACAAAATTAACGATAAAATGGAATGAAAGAAATTGGGAGAAAAGTATACAAAATGTAAATTAAAAAAAAAAATGTAAAAAAAAAATCACCACAGGAAAAAGGAATAAAAGTAGTAGCAATAATAATAATAATAATAATAATAATAATAATAATAATAATAATAATAATAATAATAGATAATAATAGTAACCGTAACATTGAAGAAAATAAAATAATAACAGCAAAAACAATTAATAATATTTAAATGTAGGTCATGTATAATATTGAAGATACGAGAGAGAGAGATATTAAGCCTATTACTATTTGTACCATAAACCTACAATTTATTTACGTTTCTTATTGAGTGGGTGATTCGTACTTGACAAATATGAGGTGCAGGATGGGACCCACTACAATAATCCCACTGAATAGAGTGACATTGCAACTGTATCGGATTGGATTATAACACCTCCATGATTATAACGTGTAGCCTACTAGGCTTAAGATATCCTTGCGTAGGACCAACTAGTCGGTAATTAAGCCTACCATATCATGTCCCTGACCTGTTACAGTACTTAATCTATTGCTTTCGTTACAATGCAATAATTCAAATTTCGATTTTTATATTTGGTGGTTTTCTACCAAAATTTATATTAAATGAATAGTTAAAATGACGTCAAACTAGTAAATAATAATAATAATAATAATAATAATAATAATAATAATAATAATAATAATAATAATAATAATAATAATAATAATATTATTATCAAATAGTTTCATCTGGTTTTGTGATTAATAAAAAATGGTTTATTATAAATAAAAACAAGTAATTGGATTAATAATGATATTACTTGCGATTTATTTTTCGCACGTATTTGGGAACGTACTGAGTATTCGTTATGATAGCACGTCAGGTAGGGCAAAACGTCACTCCCTATAGCCTATAGCGCGACAATGCGAAGCTTCAATGCGTTTTACAACCACAAACACTCTCACACACAAACACTAAAGGAGCAAAGAAGTGGGAGAAGAACAGTGCAATTAAAGAAATACATGAGTTTTGAGTAAATTCTTGAAGTTCTCTAGTGTGGAGACTAACTTGATATGTTTAGGCAAGTCATTCCACAGAGTGGAAGAAGCAAAGGAAAACGAGTTGACCATAACATAGAGTATTGGCCTTTGGGATTGAGAGTAATATAAGAACTTGGATGAGGACCGTAATTTCCATGACGGATTACCAATTGAAATAAGTTGTCTTATGTAAGTTGGAGCACCGGAATGCAGTGCTTTAGGATGAGTAGGAAAATGTAGCTACTGAATACAGTAGCTAGATTTGATTGTATACTGTAGACTGTTTCCAGTGGAGAATTCCAAGTAGAGGGGCCCAGGGAGGGTCTTTCACAGACGGAGGGCTCGCCTACCTCAGCCCTAACCAAGAAAAATTATAATTATGGCACCCTAGATGGCCAGAAATGGCACTCTCAGACTTTAATCTAAATATAGTTTTCTTTTTTCCCATTTTATATAATTTTGAAAAAAAGATTGTGTGTGTGTGTGTTGGTGGTGGGGGTATCGTAAAACTGTGAGCCCTATTTCAATTTAAACCACTTACTGTGTTCGTCGAAATATGTAACAATAACATTACCACATTTTGGGCGATATATTTAATAAATTTACTAAGACAGATATTATTTAAAGTTAATTGCTTGGTATATATAAATTAGATAATAACCAGCAAATCACGACAGTGTCAAACCTGCCAAATAATGCAATGTACTATTTAGCACATAAAATAATAATAACAAAATACACATACATTTAAACATGGAAAAAACTGCTATATATGTATATAGCGAGCTTTGTACTTATGTAGTTGTTTTTTTAAATAACGCTCTGCAAGTTAGCATGCAACAGGAAAAATGTTAGGCCTATAATAATATTGGTAAAAAGAGTTACTACTATAATTATTATGTTAAAAATTGAGTTTAAACTTACACAACTAGCCTAATAGTACATACTGTAAAAATACCGGTACCACTCCAGTTAAGCAATTCTGAGAAAAAAATAATCACTAAAATTTAAAATTAAGGAGAATTTAATACTAGCCCTTCCGACTTTGTTTAATTTTTTTCTTTTAGGAAAACATCAATTTACACGATGCAGCGCGTCACAGCTTATACAATAGACAGTGGATGATTCATATCGATATAACTATTCGTATAAATAGACATCTGCACCGAAGATGTCAAAGTATGCGGAATGCTTATCAACGGGAAGCGTTTATGATGATGATGATGATTATGCTAATGATGAATGATAATGATGATGATAATGGTGATGATAATGATGATAATGTTGAGGTTAATGTTGGTGATGCTATTGATGATGATAGTGAAGATGATAATGAGAATACTGATGATAAAGATGAATTACGATGATAGTGATGATAATGAGGATGAGGATGATAAGGATAATGATAATGGTAGTATTGATGACAATTTTTTTTATATGTTGATAATGTTGACAAAAATAATGACGATGATGATGGTGATGGTGATAACGATGATGATGATGTTGGTGTTACTAATGATAATATCAATGATAGGAACCATGTTGTGTTACATAATAATATATGATTACGATGAGGAGGAAGACAATAATACAAGAAACAAGCGTATGTAAATAGCAAATAGTATTAGACGAAGCAACAATTTCTTCGTCAGTAGAGATGATATAGGATTAAGTTTAATCCAAAACGAAGTTTTGAGGTCGTGGGTGTATTTCAGAAGAGAATATATTTTCGTTTGGCGGAAGTACGAATACTTTCTATTAGGGTGATTCATTCACTGTTCATTGTAGAACCGTCGATGGCTATGTAATAGCTTGTATCATTGTATGTATTCCGGTACATTATTAAAAAGGTTTTTGAGGTCTTTTACACATACTGTATATCATAATTTTTCAAAAGATGGGCCTATCTCAGAAATACCGGGTTGGTGTCCGGCGGAGGATAGTTTTCCGCCAAAGTTTTTACTATTTGTGCTTTACATTGTATTTTTATAGTTGTCTTCTTGTTTGTTGTTTATTGCACTGTTTTATTGCAGGACCATTGTAAAACAGCAATAAGACCCAGGGACGTAGCCAGGATTTTGAAAGGAGGGGAGCCGTTATGCGAATTACGTATGACCCCGGCGGGGTCAAGGGGCGGGCGAATCCCCCTGTTAAGTAGCGCACTCTGAACGTTCTTAGAACTGTTTGAGAGGATAAAGTGAAAATTGCAATAGACGCATTATAAATAAGCGAAAAAATAATTATATAATAAATCAACAGTGGCAGGAATTCGAAAGATCCAGGAATTCGAAAGAGAGGTAAACCAGGGAGGGACTTTCACAGACCGAGGAACCACCCACCTCAGCCCCACCATGGTTTATGATTTATGATTAGGGCATCTCTAGATGGCCGGAAATTACATTCTCGCACTTCAATTTGAATATATTTTTCTTTTTTTTCCTTAAAAAAATGAAGGGGGTGGGCTTTGAATCCACCTCTGCTCAAAACATTCTTTATCCAGAATAGTCATAATCACGAAAAATGTACATGAAAAACCAGATCACATCCTAAAAACAAACAGCAGCCACTAAGAGTCGACACCCACCTCAGCCCCACAATGGTTGGAGCTGAGGTGAGAAAATTTGAGAAAATAGTACCTCTAGATGGCCAGAAATGACACTTTTAGTAAAATTCATCATCATCACATCACCATTAGTCAAAATGAAGCGCCAAAAAAAATTCTCATGATCTTTTATCATGGATTTTTGACAACCATAGAGATCTTATTAATGTGTGTATGTGTATAGCATAGAAAACAAAGCTTAAAAACATTGTCTTTGAGTATGTACTTTACATAGGACTACTTCAAAAGCGTGATTTCACAACCACCTCAGCCCCACCATGGCTGGGGCTGAGGTGAGAAAATTTGAGGAAATAGTATCTCTCGAGATGGCCGGAAATGACACTTTTATATAGTAAAATTCATCATCATCACATTACCAGTATAGTCAAAATGAAACGCCAACAAATTTCTCATGATCTTTTATCAGGGATCTACTTAATATCCAGGACAACTTAGGCCTAATTATAGATTACTAAGCTTTAACTATATATGCTATATTATGATCAACAAATCACAACTTTTTAACGCATTTAGCACAATTTTCTTCACTTTTTATTGTTATTAATATTAATATCAATTATTACTATCGTCATCATCATCATTGTTATTATTATTATTATTATTATTATTATTATTACTATTATTAGTATTAGTATTATAAAACAAACATTTAAAGAAACTTGCAAAAGGATAAAAACGAAATTGAACCACAGTATCGCATTTCTATCTTAAAAGACCTGGCCTGAGATTTATGGATTTAAGATTTTTTAAATCACGCTTAGGCCTATGTGTTCTATTAGGCCTATGTATAACATGTACTGATGCATATTTACATGTTTAGAAGTATTCATTTTGAGTGATCCCAGGAAAGAATATGTATTGGCTCAAGAATAAGCTTTAAAATTTTAACACTGTGTACAAAGGGGGGGGGGGAGCCGCGGCTCCCACGGCTTCCCACCTGGATACGTCCCTGATAAGACCTCGTCTGCATATGTTATTCTGCCTAAATAGGCCTATGTTTTAAATAAATAATTAAATAAATCTCCCCGCAAATTCTTCTTGTCGTCACAACTGCATATTAAGATTAATGCATATCATATTGATATCTGGTATACGTTTTTGGTAGTGCTTTTTAACGCACTCAAAAGTTTTTCCTTTTTAAGACAGTATATATCGTGGTATAATAGGTTCAGATTACAATGATTAATACTTTTGTTATCGTTTTTTTTTCCCGTTTTTCCATAACTGTACTACTACATTATTCATAAGGTATAATATTGTATCTAGGTAAGACGAGGCAAAACATAAACCTGATTATGATTATAAACTTTGTCATTATCATAAGTCTTAAAATTAAAACAAGTTTTTTTGTGTTGTTTTTTTTATATTTCAGGAACAAACCTGTTCCAAGTTGCAGCACATGAATTTGGTCACAGTTTAGGATTAGCTCACTCTGACGTCAGCGATTCGTTAATGGCACCATTCTATCGTGGATATATACCAAATTATAAACTTCATAGGGATGATATTGAAGGAATCCAGCACCTTTACGGAAGGAAAACGGTCGTGCAAGGACCGGCAACGCCCACTTACAAACCAACGCGTATGCCTTCAGAATGTTCCGGAGAACTCGATGTAATGACCCGTACTGTAGATGGTAATACTTATGGGTTTAAAGGTTAGTATAAATTGGAGGTTTCGCAAACTTACGAAAACAGTTATGTAATCAAGTAATTTTTAGTCAATCTATCCCCTACAGTAGCATATCTTTCACAACGTAGGCCATCCATGCATTTTACATGGATCAACGATCATATTCAGCTCTAATATTGTCAAAAATGTTTTAGGTACGAATGACGATAATGAAGATGGCGTATTCGTGTTCGTCATTGTTTTCGTTAGGTTGCAAAATTTCCTTAATACCACTAAGTATACACCACTATCATCATCATTCTCATCATCTTCATCTTGTCATAAGCATCTGGCATTCTCATCATCATCATTATAATTATTATCATCCTCTGATATTATCCTTATCATAATAATTCTTCTCACCACCCTATCCTCATCATATTTTTCATCTCCATTGTTTTGCAATACATTTATATTTAATCTTGAATTCAATATACACTCTTCATCACCATCATCATCGCCATCACTATCTCATCATCATTAGGCCTATCATCACCATCATCATCTGCCATCATCTTTCATCACCATCCTCATTCTCATTATTAACATAATCATCAACATTATCATCTTTCATCACCATCCTCATTCTCATTATTACCATAATCATCAACATTATCATCTCCCATCATCTTTCATCACCATCCTCATTCTCATTATTACCATAATCATCAACATCATCATCGTTATGATCACTATCACTACCACCCCTCATTGAGGCTACTGTAGGCCGTTGGTATTCAACTCCAGTCATTCCATCTATTCCAATCCTGTGCGTTCTAATCACCGTCTTTTAACTTTTTTTTAAATTTTTGTTACCATCCACAATTAGCCTACCCTCATTATCATTAGGCCTACACCTAATGAACTTCGACAATTTACAATTCAAATGGTCATCAAACTCTATTAAAAATGGTTGTAATACTTTTTAATTATAGTTCTTAGTAACTAGGCCTATGACTTTTTCGTTGGATCGTTCTAGGGCGGTAGGGATTTGGCGGTAGGGGTGCGTGAGAGGAAATTTTGAGAATAAAAAAATCTATTAGTGCCAGGAAATTCACTCTCATACTTTAAAAACCCTACCGGCACTATATTCATAATGATAAAAATAATATATCAACAATACACTACAACATTTACTTTTTTCTTTATACAATTTAGGAGGGTGTGATCTGACCGTCTGTACCCCCACCCCTGCATCCACCCCAGTCATTCAAGTAATCACAAGTGGATCGACCACAACCCTTTTCACATCTATATCAATTTGTAAAGATGATGATATAATTTAAGTGTCTTTATTGTTTATCGACAGGTAACGAATACTGGCTTATTTATGATTCCGGTGCTGCTACCGGTTACCCAAAACCAATCAGCGAGGGCTGGCCGGGATTACCGAAAAACCTGGACGCAGGATTTTTCTGGGAAAGAAGTGGGAAAACATATTTTTTCAAGGTATGCCTAGATATTATAGTCATCCGGAGAAGTTATATTTATATCGTTCATATTTTGCTACGCATTTGTGTTGAAGGAATTCTTTACAGGAACGGTGACCGGGTCTCTATTGCCAATTTAGGTTACATTTTAGTTTCACCAATTACTTTTGAATCATTTGTTTGTATGATGCAGTGGTGGCGCCAGAGGGGCTGGGGGGCTATAGCCCCCCCCCCCGGGAAGCATAGCCGGGGAAGCATAGCCCCCCGTCGGGGAAGACGATAAATTTTGTTGGGGATCAAACAAATAAAAAAAAATATTTATATGTAATATTCGTTTAGCCACTATATTGTTTGTGTTAACTTTTCATCACAAAAACAACAACAATAACAACAATAATAATAATAATAATAATAATTCAAAAATAATTTGCGTTCTGTTATGACAAATGCTCATTTAGATAGCCTCATGATGGTTGGAATATACATCGTGATAGGTGAAGCAACCTCGACCATGACAGCGTGGTTGACAGATTTCATGCAAAATTTCCAAAATATAGAATTTCACTTTCAAGAATGAGGATTTGAAAATAAATTAAATGGTTACATTGCATACTCTTTGCTTCTTGTTTTATTTAAAATGTTTTGGTTTTGGAAGCTGATTTCAACATTAGAAAGCATAGCCTACATGAAGTCATATTAGGCCTATAGTAACTCGATGCCTATTAAATAAGTAATAAAAAATCGTCATAATTCATCAAATATTCGTGGCTTCCAGGGGGCTTCGACCTCTGGACCTCCACCGGGGCCCTAGGCGGCCCCCTGGCCCCAGCCAAGTGAGACTCGATTATACACATCTAGATGTGTATAAGACGGCCATAAGCAACTCCGTCGGGCAGGTCCTGGAGCCATCACTGGTATGATGAATTTAATTTTCTTTCAAACACAGGCTTCAACATTTTTTTTTCTTTTTTAACTTTACTACTAGGGAAATATGTACTGGAGATATACAAACCAAGTTCCTGACGTGGATTACCCAAAACCAGTTTCGAACTGGCGCGGAGCTCCAGCAAACATGGATGCCGTGTTTGTCTGGAGCGGTAATGGGCGAATCTATTTCGTCAAAGGAGGACAGTATTATCGTTACAACCCAACAACGTTTAAGGTCGATTCGGGCTACCCTGCTCCGCTGTCAAATTGGAAAGGACTTCCCTCTAACATTAATACAGCGATGCAGTGGAAAAATGGAAAGACCTATTTCTTTTCAGGAAGTCAGTACTGGCGCTTTAACGATAAAAAATTCAACATAGAGGATGGATATCCTAGATTAACAGCTATTTGGTGGATTGGTTGCTCACAGACGGCCGCTCTACAAGGAGCTGGAATAACGGCATATGCACCGGGAGGGAATGGCGTACCAGTTACCAGTCCCGTCGGTACCAGCACAAGCAAATCACCTAACGTGGTGCTTGAACCAAATAATAGCGGTGTATCGAATCATCCAGAGTTAATTCCAATCCTAATATCATCGTTGATCACTGTGACACTGTGTATGTTATGAACAAACTGTAAATTTAACCATTTTACACAAAATGAGATACAACGTAATCAACCCAATTACTATTATTATTATACGTCTATATACACTAATGCCAGGAAAAAAAGGCAGTACAAAAAATAATGCATATTCAATAATACGTTTTATAATATGTATTTATTGATTGGTTGACTGGTACGACACGCTGGACTGGTTCGTGTCGATGTATAGATCAATATGATATAGGGCGAAAGTTCGGGTAGGGCATCACACACGGCATCAATAGATTTCATGAATACCTCAAAAAATAAACAAAAGAATTTTCGACTGCTGCTACGACAATTCTCTGGATTTACTCTGTCTCTTATACACATCTCTCTATAACTCATGAAAAAGTTATAAATTTGCCAAATTTAATTACTGAGATGTCACGTTTTCGGCCATAAGATTTCATCAGATGTAGAGCATAAAATCCAAATAAAACAATTTAAACATATATTACGGACGTAAGGCAAGTATACAAACATACGACGTGAAGCAATGTTTAAGGAGTAAAAAGACAATAGAACAATATCCTTAGGGGCATATGCTAATACACAAGCAGAAAAAATAATCCCAACTCAGATATAAAAAAATACTGAGAACAAAATACATATATTAGAACACAGATATTCCACAGTTTGCTTCGATAAATATAATGTAAAAGCAGAGAAATAAAACTCATGTTCTAGTTGTAGACATAGGATTAAGCAAAATAATTTATATTCATAGATATTTCAAACATGACCTGAATGTCTTATATACACAAACATACATACATATATACATATATATGCATATATATACATATATATATATATATATATATACATTATGTCAATATTTGACTGCTATTATAATCTAATAATATTATTACTCTGTATTATATATATATATATAATATATATATATATATATATATATATATCTTCTTAATATTTTTATATTATTTTTAATATTATTATTATTTTCAAATGGTCGGTGTAAAGCAGAACACAAAACACAATATAAGTTCAAAGCAGTTGTGTTTTTTAATAGTATATATTATTATTATTATTATTATTATTTTGAATTTATTCAAATTTTCTTGATGAGAAACACAAATTATTGTTTGCATTACATAGAACATAGACCTAAAATGAATATTAATATTACTATTATTAGTAGTACTATTGTTATTATTATTATTATCATCATAATTATTAACATTATCCTTATCGCCATTTAGGACACTGCAGGTTGTCGATGTTCTGTTCGCATGCTACTTTTTGCCTTGTAAGGGCCATGTGTGTAAAATATTGAATAGAAATTGTTATTACTAATATCATTATTATTAATTATTATTATTATTATTATTATTATCATTATTATTATTTATATTTATTTATATTTATTACTAAGAAGAAGGTATGATTGAAAACATAATTTAATGATAGGCCAACGTCTACATTGTTTTTATATTTATGTTCTTGATTTTAGATGTCGTTATGTACTACTGTATGTTATTTAATATATTATGCGAATTGTTATGTTTTTTTTGTATGAAGAATATGATAGTATATTTAGAAGACTTTGTTCTTTTATTGAAAAAGTGTATGACGATGAATAAAACAACGATACTGATATAAAGGAAATAATCTAGATAAAAAAATTACAGTGAATCAAAAGTAAGATAAACCATACATTTGGATGCTAGAGAAGATTGCCTCTTCGGGGCGACTGGCACCAGTGACATGAAGCCTATTTTCCACTTGGCGAATTTATTCGTGCGAATGGAAAGCGGCGGATCATGCACATGCGCATTCACATTTCTATCGGAGTATTTGCTAGCGTAAAAATGCGCAACCAATCAGAACTCAGGAAGCAAACCGACGCTTTGATTCGCGCGAATAAATTCTCCTAGTGGAAAACCAGCTTTAGAAGATTCAAACTACTGTATACCGTAGTTTGCTGTATAGACCTTTCCAGAATGGCAGTCAAACTGACCAATTAAAGAGCAAAGAATACTCATTTCCACTAGGCGAATTTATTCGCGCGAATCGAAAGCGTCGTTCATGCGCATGATGCGTATTCACATTTCTGTCGGAGTTTTCGCTTCAGCGAAATTGGTAGTTCGAACAGTTTCTACTTTTTGCGAAGCGAAAAAATGCAGCCAATCAGAGCTCAAGAACCGAACCGACGCCTTCGATTCGCTCGAATAAATTCGCCTACTGGAAAACTGGCTTTACGCCGTCATTTTGTGGCACCTTTTAGCAACAATACCCAGTAAGATACCTTTCCGGAGTGGCAACCAAACTGAACAACTGACTCTGCACAAACGCATCATGTGTTTGCGTATGTTTTTACGCTGTCGTTTTGTGGAATCTTAAGGCCAACTCAGACAGCGTCGGCCGACGCAGCCCGACCCGATTTATCGCCGGGGACAGTCTTAAGCCGTCGTGAGAAATATTAAATGTTTAATATTTTACGACGCGACTGCCCCCGACGCACACCATCGCGTCTGCGTTTAACTCACACAGACCCGACGCGACAAGAAATCGCGTCGGGCTGCGTCGTACGACGCTGTCTGAGTTGGCCTTTAGAAACAATATCCAAGGGCCGGGCTTTAGCGAAATGGTCCCTTGCAATCTAGATGATGAAGATGTTTGGTGTGCCAGTGTGAACACTGTAATACCGCCATGCATTAATAATAAGTCCATGCTCTGATACACCATAATGCGCGTTCGCAGTACGCCCGGGGCATTTGTCACTGTTTGTGTTAACCTTGTCAAAATAAAAAGAATCACTAAACGCACACCCCATTACTTTAATATTATTTGCATAAATATTTTGTGGCTACCAATTCAATCCTTTTCTGTGTGACCAATATATTATGAGCATGATAATGTCATAATTACAACCAAGTATGCGTATATCACATTTATATTCACACAGGCTATGTTCTTACACGGCAGCTAACGGTTAGCAGGATCCAGATCCTGCTAACCGTTAGCTGCCGTGCGTCCATGCGAGAAAATCCCGATCCGGATACCAACAATATGATGATCGAATCACTGGTCAATAAGAAACTGGAAATTGTAAACGCGAATATAATGGCAGGCATAATTTGGTATAATTTTTTTTGTGGTATACAAAGATAAAGAGAATGGGAACTTTTACTTAAAACAACCACACCATTTGGACTCAATATTAGGAACGTTCTCCCAGTACACTAAATTAAACCAATGGCATTTCAATTTATTCAGGATAAATCATTTGGCATATTTATTGAGGCTTGCCTCTAAAGTTTAGTTTTGGCCTTCCTGTTTACTTATTTAGGCTGTTTATTCTAATCTCACCCAGCCTATTGTTTCCAATCATGCTTGCATGAAATTCTCACTTTATACCATCAAAACTGTATTTACCTTTCTTTGATGATTTATGTATATATATATATATATATATATATATATATATATATATATACATAAATCATCATATATATGTATGTATATATAATACAATAATTATAATATACCGCATTTATTCGAAAAAGGTGTTTTTTTGAGCAGCCAGCGTTTACTGGTAAATGGAGTCTATGCACAATTAATGGTAAAAAGTGTTTTGCATGGTTTTTAAATCCCTTAGCTGCATTAATTTAATTCCACTAGAGTAAAACATTGATAATTAATTCAATTCTGAAAATATTATATATTGCTTCCACTTCATCAGTCCATGCTTATATTGGAAGAAAAATCAAACGTCTTGGCGTTTATTCCAAATGACCTTTGGTTTCTTTGGGGGAGGGGGTCGTTTGTTCAAAGTGGAGCATTTATTTGAATAAATACTACCGGTATGTAATTATTTTTTTTTAAAGATGATGAATCAAAAGATGTTAGCCTATAAATTAATTATTATTAGTCTTTAATACATTTCACATTATGACGCTTACTCTTTCAATTTTGTTTTGTTTCATGTTTTTTAATTGTCTTTGCTAATTATGTTTATTTTGAGAGAAATAAATAGGGTCCTCCCTCCATGCATGGGACGAATGGGCAGAGTGTGCGTGAAAATGAATATTACATAGCCTTTCATTCTTAGGCCTATTTGAAGTCACGCCTTGATGAAATTGTCTTTTTAGCATCCAAATAAGTATGTTAAAAGAAGTTAATTTATTAATTTAATTGTTTTATAAATTGTACAAGTGTTTAATCGTGGAATTTTGTGTGCCTCGCATCACTCGCACTGTTGGTACACGTCCCGCAAGAATTACATTCATGGCTCGAATGAATTGCATGCGTCGCTGGATGACTCGCTGACTCGGTGGCTCGCACTTTGGCAACCCTCGTTTCAGCTGGAGGGCTGAAATTCAAGTTACGGTAGAGAACAGTCTTTCGGATGAGAGGTTTAAGCCAATAGTCCCGTGTGAAAAATAGCGTGTGTGCACGTTAAAGAACTTTCGTGGGTTATCCTTGACACCGAATAAATCCATCATAAGAAAATGTGTTGTATGACGAGCAGCCCACCTAAAATGGACGTTAACACCTATGGCGATAACGATCGTCACTGCAAACATGCCTTTATAGTTCGTGTTTGATCATGAAATATGGATATAAATTTTGTTTTGAAAATCAATTTAAATCGATAATAATTGTGTGGTAAATATTCATATTAGTTTAAAATCAATTGATAGTTGTTATAATTCATTGTGATTAGATTTTCTCATGAGATCAAATGGAAATAGCAGAAATCAATATATGAAAACTGATAAATACCCTTTCCATGTTCACGGTAGTGTTATTAGGCCCGCAAACATCAACGAAAACGATGATGCGCTCAATATTGGTACTGCTCGGTCTTTCCGCCGTTGCATTTGCATGCGAAGACGGCTGGGAGTCATTTGGTGAAAGTTGCTACAAATTCGATAATACTGATAGGAACTACGCAGATTCCGAAGCCTTTTGCCTTGAACAAGGAGGGCATTTAGTATCTATTCATAGTGACGATGAGAACATTTTCGTCGGTGACAAGGCCCGAGAATTAAGTATGGGCAATACCTGGATAGGACTGGATGACAATGACGAAGAAAACGTCTTCTCATATCTGGACGGAACGCCATTCTACAGAGGAGGGTTTACTAGAGGTGAGCCTAACAACTGGGGAGGTAATCAAGATTGTTCCTATTTCCCGTTTAGAGGCACTTATGGATGGGATGACATGAGATGCAGCAATCAGGCATCTCCACTATGTGAACGTAATGGCCCATGTCCTGAAGAATGGATTGTCAGAGAGGAAACCGGGAATTGTTACAAGTGGTTTACTGATCGCATGTCGTATGATCAAGCTAAGGCAAGGTGTTTGGAAAACGGGGCCTACTTGGTATCGATCACTACCCCTGAAGAAAACAGATTCGTCATCGATGACGTTGCCATAGCAACAAGTGGAGAGGAAAACGGACCACAGACTTGGATTGGATTAGATGATGAAACAACTGAAGGTTATTGGACGCTTGTGGACCCTGAGAGTACCGACTTCCTTGGACGCTTTAGTAGAGGAGAACCAAACAACGCGGGAAGCGGACAGAATTGTGCATGGTTCCCATTCAGAGAAGCCTATAAGTGGGACGACGTTTCCTGCAATGCCAACAGAAAAGCCGTCTGTAAGAAACCCAACCCAGAACATTTATTCGGCGACCTAACTGAAAAAACCAAAAGTATCGTTGTGGCTCTGTACAGTGGATGCATCAACACAGAGATACAAGACGACCAAAATCTTTGCGAAAAATTAGAGGGCATATTTGATGAACTTGTGGGTGACGAAGATGAGGAAGAATAACCTCACGGACATTGGAATACTTAAATGTTGTAGCTAGATATATTAGGCGACGAATCTATGTTCAGTTTGAGAAGTTCAACAGTTTCATGGTCTTCTAGTCTTTATTATTTCTTTAAATTTGTTATTTATTTAAAACATCTGTCCAGTTTATTATTGTATTTGTTTGTTTTTTCCCCCGAAATATTTCATATAAAGTGTGTACTATGTAATTATGGCATGATGACTGACAAACGCCACTCACATGTCTACTGTCGTGTAGCACCATGCACAATATAAACAAGTTTATATATATATTATATATTATTATATAATTATATATATATATTATATGTATATAGTATATATATTATATGTATTATATATATTATATATTATATATACTGTATTATATATAGGCCTATGTTATATATATATATATATATATATATATATATATATATATATGTTTTATAGTACTATATTATGAATATGTATGATAAAGGGTACGTTATGTATTTTTATCACTTGCTGCATTTTACATAAATTAAATCCTATGAAAACCGTTTTGCTTATTTACACTGAATCTCAGAATGTTAAGGCGTTGAGTAGTGCCACCTCAACTGTCTGCTAGGCATTCATTATGTTGACTTTAAGATGATGATTATTGAACTCCTCGACTGGACATAAATCGTATTAGTCTAATATCGTGATTATAGACACAAACATTCTATTCTTTTTTTGCCTTCTCAATTCTTTCTTGTTGGAATTCATTAAAAAGGTGAAACGGGATTATGTTTTGTGTGTATTTATTTTTATAACTGAATAACTAAATCGAATAGAAGCGCATCAAATTGAATTGGACTTAGTTGATTAAAAATGGATTGAATGAAAATGAACTGAGTAGAATTTATTTGGAATTCGGTAAAAAAAACAAGGAGAAAGGAAAGTCACACAGTTGCCAAGCACAATAGAGTGATTCGGCGATGGGCGTCACTCACGTGACCAAACTTGACCAAAATTTAGGGGTTTCAAAGGCTTATTTAATTGGTGTTAGAGTCTATTAATATGTACAAAATAGGCCTACCACCATAGGAATAGGGGGAGGGGGCTGTGTTCTAAACGTCTCAAGCTATACGTCGCCTGATCAATGACGCTTCACTTTACCGATCCTGGTAAACTCATCGCCGTCAAGTTTCAGCACTATTGTTGTTTTATAACTGCTTTTTTAGTCATTGTTCTTCGCGTGCTCAAAAATACGTTTCTACACCAACTTTCCGTATTTATCTCATTCCAACTCATTCATTCACAGAAGTTCTGTTCTCTGGAACAAACTCCCATCACATGTTTTCCTGTTTTTTTTTTACAATATTCAACTTTTTAAACGGAATATCAATCGTATTGATCCACTTTCTCTGTCTTAATTGTCCTTTGTCTGGACATTAACTCATATGTTTTACCTTTTCTGGGCATCACATATTTAAAAAAAAAAAAGCTCAAAAAAGGCCTACTATTATCTATTTAAATTTTATAGACGGAAAGGGACTTAACCTGGGGCGGATGCAGGATTTGGCGGTAGGGGGTGTGTGAGGGTTCATCTCACTTCCCCCCACTACGGTTGTGGCTGAGGGAATAGAAAATTTTGAGAATAGGGACCTCTCAGGCTCGGATCAGGAGTTTTAGCTGGGTTTCCATAGAATCGCTTATCGACAATCGTGACAGTTGTGGTTCACAGACGAATCAATGTGCCTTCCTGATTGCACAGGGCAGCTAGCAATGCACCCTGATTCTTCTGCGTCTGCAACGCAATCGGAGAAGTTGAACCAGGTGAGCGATTATATGAAAACCGAGCTTTACCATGACTATCACACATAATGGAGTCCCTCAGTGGGCGGGGTCATGGGAACAGAACGTAATGTTTACTTGTTCCGTCGCTGGAAGACTATTTTAGAAGGGGGGGGGGGGTGCTTCGGGGGGGGGGGGGGGGGTGCTTCGCGGTAGTCTTGGGGTTCTCCTAGCTTTGGAAAGTTTTGCTTTTACTAGGTGCTGAGAGATGCACTTACGTGCATTACGAGACTTCTATTGATGAATGAATACGCACAGAATTAATAGTTCTTCCCCATTTTACCATGGACAATTAATATTGCGATGATGAGGTGATGATGATAAGGAGAAGGCATCGTAGCAGGTGACGCAGGGTCCTGTGCAAGTTAATCAACAGGCCCTTTGATATGAGTATCAATCGAGGCCCGTATCCCGAGTTCGTCGTCACAATCGGACAACAGTAATTATCAACAATTTATATAATCGGTACATTCTCGACTGTCATGAAAATATCATATAATTATCTAAAAAATTACGTTATATGCATGCTCGGAAACGGAAAGTTTAACTTAAAAGTTTAATATATGTTTCATGTTGTTTGTTGAATGGTCTTTAATGATACCTATTATATTCTAATATTACCACAACATAAGGAAGAGCACTTTGTCACCTACAAAGTTCAGACCCATATACATTTATATTTCCTTAGGCCTAATTCATAAGGAAGTCCGCTCTATATCCAAATTTCAGGAAATTATACGTTTTATGCATGCTCCGAAGTGAAAATTTTGTTTTATGTTGTTTGTTGAATGGTCTTCTTTTAAAATAGGCCTATTACACTCTAATATAACCACAATATAAGGAAGTTCATTCTTTAAATGTTTAATAGATCGATTATGCACATGTTAAATCCAATTTAAAAAAAAAATTAAAAAAATACGTTTTCAGTGCACGCGCCGACGTGGAAGGATTAACCTAATAATCTTGTTAATAATGCGGTTCTAAAATTAATCTTATGACCACAACTTTAATTTGTAACTTCAGAAAAATTAATAATGCATTTTTGCAGCTGGGAAAGTAATTAAATATGCATAAATGTCTTCTGTGATTGGTTGATTGCCAACATTTCAATGCTTAGTGGTTGGACGGTAGGATATAATGAGTAACTCTCATAATAATTTCATGTTTCAAAAAATTGTTTGGAGTATAATATGATCACGTTCCATGATAGATTACATCCACAGTGTGCCCCTAAGCCAAAATTTTAAATGTGAATAAATTGAGTTTTTTCGAATTACGACAGACTGAGTAGATTAGGCCTACTGGTTAAAATGTAAAAATTTAAGATTTTATTTTTAAATCACAGAAAATCACAAATTTATATTCAGTACATTCTCGACTGTCTTGGAAATTAGACCTCATTAAATTTGATTAGGTGCGTTATACACACTCTTCGTAACACCCCACCTACTGGATATACGAGCCAGGAAATTTTACATTTTACCTGCCAATTAATACAGTATTATACGCTTATTAGATATCCTCTCAATTTCTCAGTATTTTTTTGTTCTTTAATTATTTTTCCACTTCCAACGCTGTATGATTTGAAATTTACATAACATTCACGTCGTTGCTCTTCTTCAGTTTCCGTGTTCATTTTCAGTCTCTCAGTGCTTGGTGGTCTTAGATGTATTGTATCTAAGTGTGTTCGTAAGTTTTAAGCTCTAGGTCTACAATTAGGCCACCAACTCCATTAGACTTGTTTTTTTGTTTGTTTGTTTGTTTTGATGAATAGCATTCGTTAAAATAATTAAATAATAATTCATTAATCAAAAAGTAATAATTAAAATAATATGTTTTCGCTTTGGTGTAATTTTGGAATAACAACATATAATAAAATTATATATGCCTTTCAATAAGGTTATAAGAATCAACGCACATGTATAGCCTATCCTCCCTGTGATTGACTTTGTATTAACCATACATTGTGACATAAATAATAATAATAATAATAAAAGAACTCAACAGTGTACCGTACGTTATCGCGCAGCCGATTTAGTTACGGTCCCTCTTTGATTAATACTTAAACAATGCAAAAAGTTTATTTTGTCTGTATATTTTTGTCTTTCGTTTAGGTAGGTGGCATTTCTGACAGAAAGAGTTGGAATTCGCCAGACCACCAGGCACTGCTATCACTTTATATTGGCGAACGGTGCGAAGAGGTCTGGATCCGCGCCTGCCTCTAGGTGCCACGAAATTGCACTCTCATACCTTACAACAATACAATACAATTATTTTTCATAAGACAATTTAAGAGGGTGAGACGGCACCTTCTGCACCCCCTCTGCATCCACCCAGTTAACTCACTATCACTAATCTTAATAGCTGGATTGCTCATCAATCATTGTACAGACAAAATTGAAGCCATCGACGCTATATGCAATGCAAGAACCCAATTGACGCGTACTAGTCTAGTAAAGTTTTTATGGCATTTATTTAAATTATTGTTAAAAATCCTTTAAATAGTTATTAATAAAAAAAAATTAAATTATTATGTTATATAAACTGGTTTTTTTTCACATCCTATCTTATTACTCAGCGCGCCTGTTTCTGCAGTTTTCAAAAGCGCTAGAAAAACTTTGCTTTGTTGGTGCAAGGATATTAACTGTTACCAGGATAGGAAGCTGGCTGGTTTAAGCGTCTAACTTGAATTAGCCTTATGTGTGGTATTGTTATGCTAATGGAACAGATAAGCACAATCTGCACATGCTCAGAAAAGCAAAACTTTCCTTAAAGCCTGTTTTTTTTCCACTAGGCGAATTTATTCGCGCGAATGGAAAGCGTCGGTTCTCTTCCTGAGCTCTGATTGGTTGCGCATTTTTTTCACTTCGCAAAAAGCAGAAACAGTTCGAACTACTGATTTCGCTGAAGCGAAAACTCAGATAGAAACGTAAATGCGCGTGCGCATGAACCGACGCTTTCGATTCGCGCAAATAAATTCGCCTAGTGAAAAACAGGCTTAATGCTTTGCTTTGTGATGACGCATACGCGTGACGTTTTGGGCTCCCTAACATTGCACCGGTAGCTTTATTAAAACAAGCCAATGAGCAATTCCAGCTCTTTATAGATCACTGCCCACTGGACCCTATTAAGGCTTCGCCCTGGATGTAAAGAACTCTCCTGGAAACCGTCAATCCCTTGTCAAACATTTTTGCTCTAAATTTAACTGAACTAGCATCCACGTTATTTTGTCTTCCTGCTCTCCTTTGCATTATTAGATGTGGTCGTTGGTATCTTATTCGGCATTGAGAGAAGTGGAAAGCACTGTGTATCTTTGTATCCCGCATATATCACTTCGTACCCGTCGTTGTCGACAGCATCCGCTATATACGCCATTTTGTCGGTTGTTTCTGATAAACCATATTCATCAAAATATATCTCTATTATCCATTCACAGTAGCTAAAGTAATTGACAAATACAAACGCTACAGTTAGACAATCCAAGCGCATGCACCGACACTAATTAAGTTCTAGTAGGGAACAGTGCTAGTTTTCCCAACAGGGAGTATTAATATATTTTACAATGTTTTCTAACATACAATAATACTTACCTTCTAATTCGTGTATATTACAAAATTATACATACGCTTTCTTTGTTTTTGGGTGTTGACAGATACACCGCTCTTCCCTGTAGCCGGGCACACACTGCGCGCCGTACGACCGTCTGGTACTAGGACATTTCACCGAATGCCAGCTTGCCGACGGACGTTTGGCCGACAGACAGTTGACCAAAAGAACATTCAACGACACAGAAATTCGCCGACACCGAATTTCACCGACAGGACGTTTCACCGACAGGACGTTTCACCGACTGGACGTTTCGCCGACGGCCAATTCTCCGACAGCCAATTCGCCGACAGATATTTCACCAATAATTTTTTTTTTGTGATGTGATTGATGTTTCGTCGACAGGTGTTTTGTTTTGTGGAGGACTGGTAGTCATCATGGAAAATCGTTATTTATACCTATGCACACCCACTTTTAATATATAAATCATGCAATATAAGATTATGCTAAAAACATTAAACATAGGTCTATAATAAACACATGTTCATCTTTATTTTTTATTAAGTATTTTAGTACTGTAGAAAATCACAAGAGACTGTAATAATTAAGAGAATATCGGGGCACTTAAAAAAAAAAATAGTATAAATTGAGATAAAAGGAAAAACAAGATACAAGGTGACTTTATTTCAAATTTAATGAAAAATTTAAATATTTTAAAGTACTACTAATATTAAAAATGTTTAACATACACCAGAATAGGACGTATTACAAATATACAGTAAAGTTAAAATATACAGGTGGGGGACACATTACAATATTAATTGATCGCTATCTTTTATTTATTCACATATTTTTTATAATATTCATTTTATTCTGACAATGAACTCTCTATGAGCTGGAAGGTTGTAGCGGCTTAAGCATTTATTTTGTGGAATAAAACAAAAATAAAGCGACATGTATACTGAATAATTTACTGAGCATTAAAACTAGAGAAAGATATAACTTACAACCTACCTTGATCTAATAGCGAATCTGTTCGTTAGTAATGAAATAACCGAACCGAATAAAAATTAAACATCTAAATATGTCACTTGTGACACATCCATCCATTAACGTGTTCTCAAAAAAAATGTCGGCGAATTGTCTGTCGGTAAATTGGCTGTCGGCAAAACGTCCTATCGGCAAATTGGCATTCGGCGAAATGTGGTGTCGGCAAAATCACGTGTCGGCGAATGGTATTTCGATCATAGTCTGTCGGCCAAATGTCTGTCAGTGAAACGTCCGGTCACGGAGTTCGAAAGGGCCATAGTTGATTTAATACATTTTTACTTACTTCTCAATATTAGGCCCAGATTCTTTCAGGACATTGTAAACGACATATCCCTGGCATTTGTAATTGCGTTTGAACTCTTCGGCAATATCGCTCACCCGGTTACCACTCACACGAGCGAATTCGTTATCCTTCCGAAACATAACGATATACTTTTCAGTTCCAGCTGTCTCCATCAGAGCTGGTGTCGTATCCCTCTGTAACAAACCCGAACTAAAATTCGCCGAATGAACCTGTAATTATACATTATCATAATTTATATTACATAGCCCTCATGTAAGGTGATTGTGTTCTTTAATAGGCAAAATACTTTACGTTTGAAAAAGCAATGAACATTTCGGCCTGTGTCCAGAAGTTGTGGTTCGGCTTTAAGCTTATTCTTTTTTTAACTTTCGTTTTAATTTTCAACCCGGAAAGCTGATAATTAAAACTAAATGATTACAGAATAACATTCGTCCTCTCTGGTCAATAAACAATTCAAATATTCCAATGTTATTATTCATGTTATCAACTATATCAACAAATGTTGTTATATATTGAGTTGATAACATGAATAATAATGTTATTATTCATGTTATCAACTCAATATATAACAACATTTAAGTAAAATCAGTTTGAAATATAATAATTAGAAATTAATGTAGTGCTAATAAGCAACGTCCCACTTACTTTGAACAAACCCATATGCCTCATTCTCAATGGCCAAAAACCTCGATACAAACGCCCTCTATTTTTACCAACCGGTAAACCGTCTTGGAAGAATTGTCTGATGTCATCGATGTGCCAGAAAATTTTGGCAATGTACCCAAAATCCGACTTCCGACTGAGTTCAGGCTGCTGCATTCGCTCACATAGCAGCATGGCCTTAGCTCCTGCCTTAAAATACATTCCCATGAGGATCCTGAGAAAAGATTTGAACACACGTAACCACACTGGTGAATCAAAGCCGATAATATGTATCTTGCAATCATTTAACTCGTGTACGTCCACTTCCTCTGCGCGCTGCGTATTGACAAACAATGCGCGCCAAGTATGGTATATTACGACGAAAAGTAATCCAGCGACGACGAATCCTAACATCATGTCAATATAGTGAATTGACATCAAAGGGCGAGTTCATCAAATTCCTATGGGCATAAAAATATGAATCCCAAAATTGGTTTCATAAACATAAAACAGATGAAGTTTGTAAGTAAAATACACATGAGCAGTGGCGTGCTACGGGCAGTGCAGGGCTATTAGGGGCCCATCCATAAATAAGAAAGAAACGGGCAGCGGGACCCTCAATGATACTCGGTGTTTAAGGAAGTAATTATTGATGACTGTGTTCAATGGTGTATTCAAGGCTGGGGCCCAGCCCGCCTGCACGCCACCTCCCCTTCCTATTTTTTCAAAATTATAAAATATGGGAATAAAGTAAATTATATTCATTATAAGTCTGAGAGGGCTATTTCCGTCCACCTAGAGGTGCATAATCATAAATTTTCTTACCTTAGGCCCCCAACATGGTGGGGAAAAGGTGGTTTCCCTCCTTCACCAGTGAAAATCCCTCCCTGGCCCCTTTATTCGAATTCCCTGATTTACCACTACAATTGTTAAATTTTACGTGCCACCAATTTTTTTTTTAAATAAAATACCTTACAGCAGCTGCTGAGACCGATTATTCCCCTCTTAAAATAGTTACGAATCCGATTATAATAGTATTTAGGAGTAATTATAATAGTGTTTATGAGTAGGGGGTAAAAAAAAGCACTTCTTACGATGAATTTTCTGAGGGAATTCCCCCATCAGTGTCATCAAAGGGCCCGGCAATTAATCTTGCACTGGGGCCCTTTCGCACATAGCTACGCCGCTGACACTGAACATTCGAGTCTGAAATCGAGATGCCATGTCTCCGAATTACAAAATCGTTATGAACTTTGGGAACAATTGAAGCCTGTGTCGTCGGCATTGATATATATGATGTACTTGTTGAAGTTAACAACTTCCTTGTAATTTTACCAGTGCTTTAGGCCTACCTTCTTCTTACAAAATAATAGTATTACTGTATACAATATATGGGTTATAACGGTTAACATGCGCTGTTAAGTCCTAAAAAACTTGCATAGTCAGAAATATTTCATATGGATGCTTACCGATCCACGTCACATCTAGCAAGAAACGTGTTTTCCAGAAGGCTGGGCAAACCAAACAGCATGTATTCAGGTTACGAAATCACGCGTTGGATTAGTCTCCCTGGGCTAAATAAGAGTCGGGTTTCAGACTTACCACGTAGCGAATTTTATATAACATAAGAATCTTACATCCACCACGCCCTCATATGGAAGTCAACTATTTTTTTTGACAGGATAATAGTTAAAATGAAGTCGTCGAATGAAATGAGAGATTCATCCACAGTTTATTAATATCGTTTTTTATGAGCAAAATTCAATTTCATATTGGAATGGAACAGCTGTGCAGTGCTTAAAAACAATCCCACTACACTTACATCATTCACGGGCAAACAAAATATTTAGACACTGAATCAAGGGCTTAAAACTAAAAGACAATGCTCAGTTCAATATCGTAGCCTGCCTATATTTCACACAGAGAGCAATTTCATGCAGTAGGAACGCGAACTACCCTATGCTTTAACATACATTCACTGTGGGAAAAGGTATGCTCGTGGATTTGTCTGGCTTAGTGCATTACTTTTATGAATATTCGTATCGTATCATAAAACGCGAATGCGTTCGGACTAACAAGGGCGAATTGACAGCAGTTATGCATATATTACCGTTAACAGGTAGGCCTATTTATCTATCCATGCCCACCTGCAAAGCCTGGTGAATATCTCACGGTTAATAATTATATTGAACCCTGATTTTATAAATAACTTGTAGGCTGTATCATTACATCAATATCCTTATCATTAGGCCTATCATTGTAGTCTGTGTTCGATTGACTTCGCCATGCAATACAGTGGCGAACGCTGGGGCCAGGGGCCATACGTGGCAGAGGGCCCTTTTGGGTCCCAGTCACCAATTCAATTGTGGAATTAATTTTAGATTTTTTTTGTTTTTTTAGATTTTCATGTTTTTCATTGTATTCTAATTTTTGGAGTCTAGACTACCAGCTTTTCTTTCCAAAAAAACTGTTAATGGTATTATTATAGCCATCCCTTATAGGCCCTATGTGATGTCGTTATGACCATATTTAGGCATGTCACATGTTTTGTCAAATAAAGTTTGAGAGTTTGGACAGAGCTTTATGATGAGTACCGAACCACGGTTATACCATACCTCCATGGTTATATTAGCACGGGGGCGAAGCCTTGCGAGCGCAGCAAACAACTAGGGTGGGGGACAGGGGAAAATTTGCGTTATTTTACGTGATAAAAATAAATTTGAGAGAGGTCATACCACGTAATTTTTCTATAAAATCCCAAACAAAATAATTAGCCTCAACGCAATTTGTAAACAAGAAAATACATTTGGTGTGAGGATTTCACTTCCCTGGTTTCATCCGGACAAAGGGTAATGATTTTAAAACCATGAACCTCCGATGAAGGTAAATCATAAGAACAATCCCAGTGTCAAAATATGGTCGCAATCGTTACGGGAGAGGTGGTGGCTTGCACTGTAGATAGGGAGAACAAACTGGACCATAAGAGCTTTGAGTTCATTTGCGTTGTTTCTAGATTTAAGAGTGACGATGATAAGTAATGCACAGTTGATGTGTATGTAATTGGTTTTCAGAATTAAAGAAAAAAAATATCATTCATTTTATGATGTCTAGGTCAAATATTTCTGACTGTTTTTGCGCAAGTTCCATTCAACCAATAAATCCTACTATTGTTTATAGAGGAAGCATTCAAATGAATACAAAATCAATCTTCCTAATAATGTATTCCATAATATCGATAATCCAAAGTTATATTTTTATTTCATGTGTGCTTATCAATATAAAATATTGGACCAAAGGATAAAGTAATATCGATTTTTGCTCATCTTTCATCGCTACACCATATGTTGGCTCGTCGTATGAAGGCAAAGTAGTGAAAATTCAGTGACGTTTTGACGCACTGATAATCAGAGAACAAATGACGATAATAGGCCTATTGATATTTTCAGAAAAACAATTTTTTGTTTCCATTAGCAAGAGTATAACATA